CACATTCTGTTGATTTGTGCTTACTGGTGAAAGTGCAATACCTGAAATGCAAAAGTAAATTTCTCAAATGACAACAATCATTATGATTATAATTTTGAGAAAAAATTATTTTTATCAGTTTAACCATTATACAGAATGACGAAAATATGACTAAGATTTCATTGACTAAAACCTGAATAAAATGCTGATACATTTCATTGAATAAACAAAAACAGGACAAGGTTGTCTAAATACTAACAAGGACATTTTAACACTGGACTAAGACTAAAATTGAAAATAGCTGACAAAATTAACACTCTAAATATTTGGGGTTAGTAAGTTTTTTTTAAAAATAAATTATTTTATTCTGCAAGGATGAATTAAATTGATCAAAAGTGACAAGAAAGACTTTTATGTTGTTAAAAAAAATTCTAACATATTTTTCTTTTGAACTTTCTATTCATCAAAGAATCCTGGAAAAAAAAAAATGTAATGGTTTACACAAAACATATTTAGCTGCTGTTTTCCAATTATTTTCAACACTGATAATAATGAGAAATGTTTCTTCAGCAACAAATCAGCATACTAGAATGATTTCTGAAGGATCATGTGACACTGAAGACTGGAGTAATCACAGGAATAAATTAAAATTTTCAAATATGTTAAAATAAATTAGTTTTAAATTTCAATAATATTTTACAATATTTTTTTGTTTGTTTGTTGTTTTCTTGATCAAACAAATGCACCCTTGGTGAGCATAAGAAACTGTTTTCAAAAACTTAAAAAAAAAAAATCTTACCGACCTCAAACCTTTAAATGGCACTGTTTCATTAGATTAGCATTCTTGACATTTACCTGTTGTCCTTCACAGGTTTCCGTATGATGGAGATGTTTGGTTTGGTCGAGAAGCACTACAGCAGTGTGCAAGGTGTCTCAATGGAGCCTGGGACTTTCAACAGCTACCCCTGCTACCGGTTGCACAAGGACGCCCTCGTCTCCCAGCCTACCAGGTGTGTGTGTGTGTGTGTGTACCGTGTTTCTGTATGTGAGAAAGTGTACCACCACGCTCAACTGAAACTCTCTGAAATGAGAAAAATGTGCGTTAGCTGGAACATGTCACCTGTCAAATCAAAACCATAATACACATCAAGTTTAATCAAATCTAGATGAAGTGGTTTTAGTGAGCAGGAACAGATTAGCCCCTCACTTAAATAGATCGGGCTTCTGTACCTGATCCCAGTGCACTGACCCTCCTCCTCCTGTCTAGCATGCGATAATATTTAGATTAGGCTACACTTTCCTGCGCTCAGGGGGAATGTTGTTATTACAGTGGAGGGTTTCAGCGCGAGCGTCTCCTCTCCTGTAAATCTCGCAAACCACAGCCTCACTTTAACTCACACTAAGGCAGCTGGGAATTACTACAACACTGTTATTATGATAATCTCATCTGTGATTATGAGAAAGGCCAAAGACTCACAGGCTAATGGCAGTGCTCTGGATACAGTTCACATTTGCTCTTCAGAGGAAAGTGCTCATGTGGTAGAAGATCTGTTTTTCTGGCTGTGCAGTTTATTTTGCAGTATTCAACCATAATTGTTTCTTTTCATACTTATGTAATATTGATCTATGTTTATGTTAGTTATTTGTTTTGTTTTGTTTTGTTTTATTTTATTACATTTCAGTTCCTGTATTGTGTTATACTTCACAATGATAGTTTTGTTTTGACTGTTCTACAGCATTTATCCCATGTGGGTTGCATTGCAGTGGTTTGAGGGAGATATAAATATAAATACATTTTATGTTTTTTTTTGTTCTTGTTGAGAAGTAATAAGAGTAGTGTATCTCTCTTTTTATTTTATTAACTCTCTGTAAATAAACATAAATAAATAAAAATATTAATTAAAATACTAAAAAATACCAGACACATTATGAAAGTCAAGACTTTGAAAAAACAAGAAGTCATCAACAAGTTCTCAAATAGTCGGATGAATCACAAATTTAGATCTAACAGACATAAGTCTGATGCCAAATTATAATTAATCAAAAATAAAAATTATCTAGATATCTAGATAAATTGTTCAGTACAGACCCTGTACATAACATGCAGAAAAAAATAGACTTATTATACGAGCCAGCGCCCAGGAAGATGCAACACTCCTAGTAGAGTGAGCTCGCAACCTGAGCGGGCAGGGCACACCCTGTGCCTGATAAGCCAGGGTGATGGCATCCACAATCCAGTGGGCCATCCTCTGCTTAGAGATGGCATTCCCCTTCTGCCGGCCTCCGTAACAGACAAAGAGCTGGTCTGAGGTCCTAAAGCTTTGTGTCCGGTCTACGTAGCATCTCAAGGCTCGGACGGGACAGAGCAAAGCTAGGGCTGGGTCTGCCTCCTCCGGGGGCAGTGCTTGCAGGCTCACCACCTGATCCCTGAAGGGAGTAGTGGGAACCTTGGGCACATAGTTGTTCTATTCCCTGGGGCCTCAGGATTACCTGGGAGTCAGCCGGCCCAGACTCTAGGCACGAATCGTCGACCGAAAATGCGTGCAGGTCCCCTACCCTCTTGATGGAGGCCAGTGCAAGCAGGAGCAGAGTTTTCATTGAAAGAAACTTTAGCTCGACTGACTGCAAAGGCTCAAATGGGCCCTGCTGTAGTGCTTTGAGCACTAGAGACAGGTCCCAAGAGGGTTTAGAAGAGGGCCGGGGAGGATTTAACCTTCTCCCTAAGGAACCTGATGACCAGATCATGCTTCCCTACCGACTTCCCTTCCACGGGGTCAGGTTAGCAGCAATCGCAGTGACATAGACTTTAAGGGTGGAGGGAGACAGCCTTCGCTCCAACCCTTGCTGCAAAAAGGAAAGTACGATCCCGATCGGGCATCTCCGGGGGTCTTCCCGACGAGAAGAACACCACTCGACGAACAGGTTCCACTTCAAGGCGTAAGCGTGTCTCGTAGAAGGTGCTCTTGGGGTAGGTCACCAAGAACCTCCGCGTCCCGTCCAGGGAGCAGACATGAAGTTTCCAGAGGTCTGGACGTGGGTGCCACAGGGCGCCCCGTCTCTGAGTCAGTAGATCCTTCCTCAGAGGAATCTGCCAGGGAGGGGCTGTCGCGAGGAGCATTAGTTCGGGGAACCAGGTCCGAGTGGGCCAATACGGCGCCACAAGCAGGACCTGCTCCTCGTCCTCCCTGACCTTGCACAGCGTCTGTGCGAGAAGGCTCACTGGGGGAAACGCATACTTGCGCAGGCCCCGTGGCCAGCTGTGTGCCAGTGCGTCCGTGCCGAGTGTTCCCTCGGTCAGGGAGTAAAACAACTGGCAGTGAGAGGTTTCTGGAGAGGAAAACAGGTCTACCTGAGAGGCTCCGAAACGTCTCCAAAACAGCTGGACCTTCTGGGGATGGAGTCTCCATTCTCCCGGGAGCGTAGCTCGTGACAGCTCGTCGGCCGTACGGTTGAGCAGACCCGTAATGTGAATGGCACGAAGTGACCTCAGAACCTTCTGACTCCAAAGGAGGAGGTGGCGGGCGAGTTGCGACATGCGACGGGAGTGCCGACCACCTTGTCAGTTGATGTACGCAACTGTCGCCGTGTTGTCTGTTCGGACCAGCACGTGCTTGCCTCATAAGCACCCTTTGTGACGGTTCAAGGCAAGGCGCACTGCTAACAACTCTAGGAAATTGATATGCCAGTGCAGTTGGGGGCCCATCCATACCCTCGACACTGTGTGCCCGTTGTACGTGGCCCCCCAGCCGGTGGTGGAGGCATCCGTGTAAACCACAGCATGCCTGGAGACCTGTTCTAGGGGCACTCCTG